GTCAAGGAAATGACCGCATCTTTACGACCCCCTCCCCCTTTACCGGGGGCTCGATACGACCCCTTATTGTCTTCCACACAACAGGTTTCGCAACACGGGCCAGAGCATCCTAGCCGCATTCCAACCTCTTTTCAGGTTCAAGCTCCGACGAGACAGAGTTTTGCAGATTATTCGACATATCTATCTTTTAAATTGTCTATTGCAGTAAGAAGAGTCCTGAAGGAAAGCAAACGTCAAAAACAGGAATATCTTCTGGATCACAACTAGAAGACGGACTAACCTGTAGTAGACGAGAAAGAAAGGGAAAACAGGAATTAGATCTCTGTGAAAGAAGAACGGGAGCAAAAAGTGAAGGAGCTCAGGCGGTTGAGTAGTCTCGTGCTCCATGATATCGGTACTACTGTCCGCGCTAACGGCGCGCGCGCTTTTTGATTGGAGCGCGTTAGTTGGAAAAATCGCCAAATCTACCCTCTTTTTGATGACTATATCTTTCCGCATGACAAGAATTTCAAAAAAGAAAGGCAGATTCTGTCCGCACACGCGAGTCTAAGTTTCAAATTGTACTGAGCTTCTTTTCAAGCACTTCTTCTTACCTCAAAAGCTGAAGACGTCGAGGAAAATGTCGAGGAATTTGAAATTTACATGCGAGTTTTTCGCTCTTCGGAAGACTGTAACTCTCTCTTTGGTATTTTTCAAGAATCGGAGACGAGCATTGTAAACTAGAGATTGGCGCTTCCAGAGCTGTAGTGCGTTTGCTTAGCATATTCCCTATTCCGAAGAGAAATCTGCGTCGAGGAAATAACGAGGAAATTTCCGAAGCTACCAGAAAACTCTACTTTTCCATCATCGCCGTAACAAGGAACTTCTCGAGGACACTCATAATGCCTCTGGGACTCATCACCTTCGACGGAGTGAATAGGAAATGTACACTGGACGCAAATCTGCTACGTTTTGGTATGCGCCGTACAGAGATCCTACTCAGAATCATTTGAAAGGTGTTTCGCCTACAAAACGAATTGCTTGTGCAAAGCAAAAGTTCTAGTCCTAATTGAGTAGAGTAACTTTTATGGTCATAGTCTAGTTTGATCATTCCTTCATTTAGTCGGGTACGATTCCAACCCTCCTCCGATAAATGGCGGCTGCATTATGTGACTGTGTCAGGGAAGGCTACGAATCTTCCCGTTTTGAACCTTCTACTGATATCCTGCTCTCTAGCTCTCACGCCTACATCAATTCAGAGTAGATATCATATTTGAGCTTCCATTCCAGTCAGTGTTTAAGATATCAGTTGCTTCTTCTGACTATGACACTATTGATGACAGTGAGTGGCAGCAGCACCGTGTGTCCGTTCTTTAACCTTGACCGCTTACGACCCCTCCAATTCCCATCGGATCAAATACGACGCCCTGTCTGGATTTTCCTCGACGGTTTATTCAACCTGCTTCCGAGAACCCTCATCTCTGCGTCCTCTCTGGCCCTCTCTCATCTTTGAATTCTTCACTGGGCAGACATACCCAAAAGCTGTGAATTCCTCGAAAGCATATAGAACAGAACCATTCTTAATAACGGTTGCTATTCATAATTTCTTGCTTATTTCTCAGTTCTTCAGTGTCGAGTCGAAAACACCTACGGTTTCATATTTCAACACATTCAATCAAATAGTCAATAAAAGCAATGTTATCGCGTAAGGTGTTTTTACGATGGATTTGACAAGACGCGACAAATCAATGCCACTCACAAAAAGTTCACGAAATTAGTTAACCGAACATCTGCTTTCACTAGCATTCCCCTCTATTTGCGAACGAAACTTCGAGTGCAGACCACCATCAACAGTGACACGCAAAAAAAGTAGGCTTTTTATTCCCTTTCATTCTTGCGCGTTCTTGTGTGTAGTCCGCACTCGGCTCGGTTTCCGAAACAGAGGGTAGATCGATCCTAGCCGACCGACCACAATTCGCTGGGTCAGCTTTGGCACAGGTTTGTCTGCGGAATGAAACCACTGTCTTCCATATCGCTAAGATTGTGCTATTACTGCGTTAGCCAGATACGGCGCTCATAGCATTGATGGTATCGAGTAGAGGGAGATGTGAGGCACATCTTTGCAAGCTTTTTTTAAACTTACCCTCCATTCTTCTGGAGGAACAAGCCAGGAACAAGCTGGTCGAGACTAGCGCTCGATAATGTGGGAGATAATAAGAAAAGAGAAAAAAAAAGAAGACCAACGATTGAAGCTCATGCCGACAAGAATCCCTCCCCCGCCGGATAAGGAAGTGGCGTTTCCTAGAGTTTACTTGCCTGCCGGTTCCCTGGCTTTCAAAGAATAATGAAGCAGAACAACTCTTCTCTGTAGGAATATCATCCTAAGGACGATGCGAACACAACGCGGCGAGTATTGATATTAAGCGTAGCTCAAACATGTTTGCGTGCAACAGAGGTTAGCGCAAATAATCTCGTCCATCAGCTCACAATTACTTTCTAAGGCTTTAGCGCCCTTGTCGCGCACTTTTGAGCCAAGACATGACACTTCCTTAATCTTGGTTACAGCTCTATCCTTCCTAGTCACAGGATGGATTGATTAACATGACTCATCCTTCGTTGTCGCTTTTAAGAGTCGTCCAGCGGTCGCGACAATCCGATAAATCGTGATAAGACGCGAGGAAGGATCATAAACCAACCCCGATCATCGCTGAAGACGTGGAGAGAACTTGTTTAAATGTCATATTGAATTTTTACCGCTCTTACTTTGACGTGATATTGAATTCAAACGACAACGCCGCGAACTCGTCCGTCCCGAAATCACGCATGATAGTAGGGTCCCGCTCCTCCGTTTTTGACACCTTTTATTCTAGTTTCATGATCGCTGTCGCACCATTTGGCATCTCTACTTCCATTTCCCATCGACATGAAATTATCATGGACCCCTGCCTTTAAGGGCATGATCCAATGAGCAATAAGCGTTAACTTACGTTACAGAAAAAAAATTAGAAAGCTAACAAAAATCCAAATAAATTAGGAAACCCGTTCTCCACTTGTACTTGAAACTGCGAACAATTACGCTTTACATCTGTATAAACATAAGTGATGCAACACATTTATTCTTCCCTCGAAAATCGAACTATTGAACAACGCATTTAACGCTACGATAACAGCTACGACTACAGCACTGTGTGTTGACATTCCATAGATATACGCACACAAAACTGATCTACGGGAAACTATGGGTCATAGTCAGAAGACGATTGCGAGTTCGGTGAAGAGTGTGCAAAAGTGGTGAGGGACAATCACCAATAATTAACGACACGAAAAATTAGAAATCTTAAACTACTACACTCGGAGAAAAAAAAGACGAGAAAAATTAACCGTTAAAACGAACAAGTAAGAGAAAGCCGGTTTATGAACTGTTCCAGAGAAAAACCTGCCCTACCACAAACGCTCCTCGCCAAATCTCTCTAACCTTCTACAAACAATAGAGCACTACTGCAAAGAAATGTGATGTGATATGAGAGCACAAGAAAAGCTTCCCTTCCAGACGAGCGCTAATTCACAAATAATATGAGAATACGATTAAGGGCCATAAATAACATGTGCTAAACGACGGCGAACATCAAGAAAATGAGAAATCGGTACAAGTGGCAGCTTATAGTGATGTCATCGAGAGATAACCAATCATTTAAGATAAGTCAATGTCTCTACCATCAATCCACCTAACTGAACTGCCAGGGAAGGTTGGAGAGCAGGACGACGCTACGGTATTTTTCGCTGTGGGACCCACGCGCTTAGATGTTCGAATCTCCCAACGCCCTTTGAACTTGACAGCAGTTCACATCATTTAAGTAAGAAAAGCCAAACATGTCCCACAGGTAAAATACCGTAAGTCTCGCCGTACTCTGCCCACCATCTCCTTGACAGACTTGATATCAGTACAGATAGATGGATAGATAGCTGGATAGACAAACGCCCATACACCCACTTAGCACCGAAAACCTAAAACATCAAACACCACACTCACACACATACATATTGTCAAAGTATATACAAACGATACACGCCCAATCTCCCCCGTATTTTTTGTAGATTTTCGTGAATTTTTAGTATTTCAGCGAATAATGATAGATAATGAAAACACAACTAAATGAGACTTACACAAATAATGATGACGAGAGTAATCATAAAAAAAGAAAAAGAAATAACGACAAATCAACAACAAGGTATATGAGGATTAATAAAGAAGGAACTCGAAATACACTTACACTCACACGCACTTTTCTAGAATAAAAAAAGGCTCATAATACAGATCGATCTATTGTAATTCGATGACGACGATGACATTCAACTATGAGAGGTTTCTAACAAGTACGGCAGAATTGTATGGTCACAATAGTTATATGTACACAACACTTGACGAAATTATCTGGGAACTATACTGTTTGGATTGGAGCGATCTATTCACTCAACTCTCCCACAGCTGAACTTTAGACGGTTCACACACTTCAGATAATCCTGTGTGAGGCGGCCGAGTCAAGACGCGTGCGGTCGCGGCGCAACACCGATCTAATCAAATTGTTACGTCGGACACCTCGCACAAAACCATCTGGGACGTAAACCGCGACATATCTACGTCGATGACATAAAAGATCTACATCACTATCAATATTATAAAACCAATCTAAGTATACTATCTACACATGCACATTTAAGTCTCTCTCTATAAAACACGACACAAACACGCAACGTATTGAACTGTAAAGAACCCGGTGAAGATCTCGTTACTAGAAGGCTTTAACTGTCCGGGAATCAACACATTCGACTACTAATTTACAACTTAATTACAACATATGAAAAAGGAAAAGGAATGGGTAAATCCCGGAATGATGAAAAAAGAAAAGTAGAAATAGATAAATAAGCAGATTCTATACAGCGATAATGTATACACAATGCCTTGAGATTCATATCTCACTAATTAGCTCTCGTCTTTCCTTCACCACAAAATCAAATTCAATTCAATGAGTGGCAACCTGAAAAGGCCACAATCAGAAAAACATTACAGCACAAATGATCAAAAATCTTCCTCGCCTTTTTTCTTGATCAAAAATCTTCCCCTCCTTTTTTCTTTCTCTAGCCAAGGATTAATTTCACAATTCGCACCGCTAGTAGTTGAAAAACGAGTATCGATTTTACAAGCAAAAATTGGTGTCTCTTCAAAGTACACCCCTTTCAGCTGAACAAATTGACGGGCAGAAACTGCCCTATGACGAGTGATACGCATATGGCCTACAAAAAAGAACCAGATGCATCGCCCACCACTATCGAAAGAGAACCTCCAAAGAATCTCATTGAAACTTTTCGATTACTTCACACAAACAAGTAACCCTTCGAAAATGGTCAACATGTGCAAAAGGAAACCAGTTGAGTTGCGGATCCCTGTTAAAAGCCACACGATATATATAACCACTCACTTCTCTTTGTTGACGTACAATATTTTTCCAACGATCCTCGGCGCTAATCAGAGCACCATTCGGTGGAAATGATGTTTTTTCTTCCTCGTCCACGTATTCATTCTCGTCGCCGTCAACAAAACCACTATCTTGACGTTCCGAACGAAGGCCAGGTTTATCTGAAGAGAAAAGCCGTAATTCCTTGGCAACGCTCAGACTACAAACGTAGGAGGATCGTTAAACTTGAGATCGAGATAGGATCGATGACATTTTTCAAATGAGATGAATGAGACCCTTCCTTCAAGATGACATGGATTAGGGCGTTATTTAATCCCCAAGCACTAATTGCATTACATCAGCTTACTTCAGAAAACGTTTCATACCCTTTCAAGATTGAAATCATGGCGCCGTTTTCATTTTTCACGCAATGCATTACCGAGTGGGAAACATGATGACTTTTTTCCTCCATTTTTCCCGTACCCAGTGAGTCGCAAATGCATACTTTGCAATACAGACGTGGCATCACATAATCAGCAGGACTAAAAAGTATACGCGATATTGTTTTCCTAAGCCGTGACCAGAATACTACTGACACTCTGCAGAATAGCAGCAGACGTCGTGACAGTCGCGAAAAATCGATACCGCGTATGCTTTTTCATGCTATTGATTACTTGATGCCATTCTGCATTTTGTTTTTTGCTATTGCTAAGCCTGCATTTACGACTCGCCTACATGTGCTAAACAAAACACATAAGAAACGAAACCGATGAGGAATCACCCACCTTCACTCCCTTCAGAGTCAACATCGCCTGAGGCTTCCTTTTCTGAATAGTTCTGAAAATGAACACAATAAATATCGCAATTTCTATATGCAATAATTGATTAACCGTAGCAACTTTCTCGGGAATTCCTGAACCCGGAACTACTTGACCTACTCGCCTTTTATTAAACCATAAAGCAGATGATAAAAACAAGTAAACAGATGTGACTTTCTTCGTCTCCCACCTCACTGACTGGGCTGGCCATTCCCAGGCAAGTGCAGGCCCCTTACTCGGTCTAGCCCGTCCGAATACTTCCGCCCTCTCCCCCTCCCCGGATAAATCCAATTACGCTCTCTAATAGAATGGTTTTCACCCACACGCCCTATTGATCTCTGTACTCCGTTTAACTAGCTTCCAAGAAACTAACACAAACACCTGCACCTGCTAGTATCAACTTGATCACCGTAACTCTCTCACTAACCTGATCGTCCTCACTGAGACTGCGTTGCCTCTCCTCTTTACGCTTCCTATAAGCTCGCTTTCTTTCATTTTTCTTTGCAGCCGTTAGAATACATTGCCCGACGCGGAAACGCCGTTCCTGTACTTTTTCACTGAACGAGACACGTTTCTTTCGCTCTCCACCCATTTGATTCTCTGAAACAATGTAATATAGCATACATTACACAATTAAAATTAATAGCAATGATACCATGATCAGTATGAGCATCGCTCTCATCAACTTCTGTAGTCGACTCCATCAGAAGCGAAAGATGCATGGGCTCCGATGTGAAGTGTTGAGATTCCGAGATAGATCTGAAACGAATTTCTGCATTTTTTTTTGGAAAATCCGCTCGCGTAAAAACCTCAAGTATTAACTCGCTACCTCGTAAACCGATCGATACGCTGAGGTTTTTTGAGAATACTTTTCAGCACAATGCCGTCCCAATCGGCACATTCACTCGCGGAACGCTGTCGCATTCCCATACGACTTTGTTCTGAAACGAAAAACACCTGTTGGAATGTCGGCTTGTTGAAATCAACACAACCACATGCATTTCAAATGTTTAGGAAATAATTCTATTTGAAACCCTCAGAACAGCTACAGCTGCCTGCCCAGCTGCGACCATCGATTGAATAGCTGTCACACCTATCTACTCCTAGGGTAATGGCCCTTAAGCACAAAACCTCATGCTACAGTATCCCAAGATAATTAACAAAATGTGGGACTGCTGAATCGTTTTCAACATCTGGCATTAATTAATTAATTGTTTAGAATCTATTCTCCGGCGCACTTTTCTTCTAACATGAAGCGAACAAGAAACCTCATTCTTCAGCTAGCTCCTAGTTGAAAAATAACCACGCTACAGCTACTGAAAAATTAAAACATTATTAGCTACTGAAAACTAGCTAAAAAATTGCAGCTGACCAATGCTCATAAAAGCTTTTTAACACAAACTATCCAAGTCTCCAAGAAATTGCGCTAATAAAACCCGCACCAAGTAGCGCAAATAATTACAATTCTAAGAATTATAAAGCACACTTGAAATCCCATGATTTTAATAATGTGTAATAATTTTGAAAATAATAGATCTGGTAAAAAAAAAGCAACGATTAATGGTCACTCACCCGAGTACTGATAAAATGGTGAATGCTTAGCACCACTGACGGGAGACGATAGGGGTGAAACTGCGACGCCCGAATCGGTGGAATCCGCTGGACTGGTGGCAACAGCTGGAGCAGTGCCATTGCAGCAGATCACGTTCAAAGGTGACGATGCCATCAAACGATCAAAGCGTGCACGTTCTCCTGGCTGAAAAAAGGCGTAATTCGATTTCGTGCAGGGATTCATCTACAGAAAGGCTCACAACGATGAATCAGCGTAAGCTAGAGATTTTAGCTGCTCAAACTCGTCGAGCCTACAGAAGCCAAAGAAAGAACGCATGGAAGACCTTCAACAAGGTACTCACGTTGCTAATCTCAATCAGAGTCTCCATGTTATTCTGTCTCACGATATGAAGCGCACGCGGTTTCGTGTCACGACGAGTCGCCGACCGTTGAAACGCCGCTAGTGATTCGTCTAAACGACGACGAAGGTCGTCGACACGCAGTTGATATTCTTCCATCATCTGAAAATATTCATAATCAAAATCTAAACAGTCTAAAACTTTTAAACAATCGCAATAAATGAGCCCGCAGTTCTGTTCCTTAATCCTCGATGAATGAACTGATATAAAGGGCAAAATATAAAAAGGAAATGTTCTGAACGATTCGCTAAGTAGATTCACAGTAAGCCAAGATCAAAAAGCGCTACAAGTTAAGAGAAAAGTTTAAAAAGTGTGAATTCTACTGCCAGAGCTTGAAGGACTTCAGAAGGCAGGGAAACAACATGATGCAGAGAGGATATTTTTCTACGTGGTTGCGACTACGAAGTTATACGAAGAGTTAATTCTAGATGGCGGGTATTAAGCGAACACCCCCATTACGAACAATAGAGACAAAGGTAGGAAAAGGAGACCCAGACACGATATCTGAGGATAGAGGCTACGAAAACCGGTTTGTCACCAGAATTACAATTCCATAGAAATCCATAAAAATTGCTGGAGCGATTCTGTAACCTTACGGCAATAGAAGCAGTGCGAAAGACTGACAGCTAGAACGACTAGAAAGAGTGTGGTACGCTAGGACAGAAAGCGACTTTTCACTTTTCGCAGCGCAAAACTTTCTTCGCCGCGGGAACCCAAGGTCCAATCTGACCATTAGTGGATCCGGGGTACCCGCAGCCAGAAAAGTTTCGTGCTACGAAAAACCGAAAGGTCGCTTTCCCTGCGGACCACACCCGACTGGAAATTTCTGAATTGGTCCCTATTTCCTGCCCCTGCGATAAAAGCTTCAATTCGAAAATTTGTTAAAGCGTATCAAGCCCTTAAATTTGAAACAAAGGATCTCGTAAGACCTCTGATGAATCAAAACAGCTCTAATTACCAGCTGGATAAGAGACTACGGACACGAGAGCTGGAAGCCAAGGAAGCTCACGTAACGGAAGCGCAATTTCGTCCAGCTTGCGACCAGTTGGAGCGACTGGGGTGAGATGTCCGGCCAAAGGCCACCAAGGCGGCTCGGTCTTTGGCCTAACCAGCTGCGTTTCTCAGCTATAGTCGCTCCATCAAGGCGAACCACGTCAATAGATGATTAAATGCATTCGAACAGCTCCACCAGCGCCAGCTGCAACAGTAGCAGGAAGAGTCGCAGCACGTGATCCCCTCTAGCCATGGCAATCTATTGTGGAACGTTGCGAGGGTATATATCACACCTCCACTGCTGCCGGTGTGGGTTTACAGCCTCCGCCTCTGTTCAATGCACTTGATGTGATGCTCTTCAATGGCTAACCACGTGACCGAAAAAAGACTTGTTCCACAGTTCACGTTAACAAAAGGCTATATAAACAAAGTAAATGGGAGAGCTGCATACTGTAGTCGCGAAATATCATAGAACGTGGATGAGCGACCGCAAACAGTCACGGGCAAACTGTGACTAATGGGAACCCGACTTTGACAGCATGGGAAGAAGGGGGAGCTAACTTACCTAATGACATGGGTAAGTTTACCATTTTCCAAAATCGCTCGATTCTGAAGTTGTTAGAAAACCTATCAGATCCTCGAGTAGCTGAAGACCCCAAACAAAGCGGATCATCTGCAGCAGATTAGTTACGAACGAGCAAAACTAGTTGAACGGGTGATGACCGTTGCAAAAACGAGCAAGGTCGATGAGTTCTCCCCGGGCGCATTTAAGCACTCACATGACTTCGACTCTGCCATAACTGCGAAACGAGACAAGGACGAGGCATGGATACGGTATCGACGCCTACCACCTACAAAACCAACCATTTACAAAACCAATTTGTCGTGAATGGGAGAAAGGGAGCATCGGAGAGATCAAAGTAGTGACGACAGAATCGAGCTCTGAGATTAAAGATTGTAGGTATCTTTGGAGTTTAGAATGATTTACTCTAATCCCTAGCAACGGGACTAAAAAGCTGGTCTATTTCGATGTTAAGGCAGCCCCTTGGAAACTATCGTTAGATGCGCCAGATATTGGCGCATGGCACTGCCAGGAACCGAAGCAGTACGGATTTTTTCTTGCAGAATCAGATAACATTTTCTATACGAATATTGCTACTATTGACGACGTGACTTAGTCACGGAAAGAAAAGTGGGCAAAAAGCGGGATGCTTTGAAGCTATGGGCGTATCTATTGACAGACCACTTCATAGAACGATCACTTTCTATTTACGCTAAAAAAAACTGATGAGCTAGACATCTTGTCGTTACATCAATATTTAGTTTTCAAAATTAGCTACCTCTTTTGTGTAAATAAGCAGAAATAAAGCCTCTTCTACCGCTTTACTAATTCGGATCTAACTAAACTAGCAGCAGGTGTGTAAGTAGGAGTTGTTCGAAGTTTCCTTCGGAAGCAGAGAAGCAGAACGCTGACAATACATAGTGCAAGTGCCTATTTCTCAAACCAGGAAGCCAGCACCACGACGTTAGCAACGACCTTATTCACGGAAGAGGAAAAACACATCCGCCATTAAGCATATGTAATTACTGCTCTCTTGAGTATCATTCCTTGTACAAACGTACCGCAACTGAAATCAACATGGACGCGCTTGAAAGCACACAACTCACCCAACCGCAGAAAAATGGGAACAAGAGGAACGCAACCAGGCAGAAACCCACTAGCACACTATGGAAATTGAATATCCAGGCAAGAAAAAACTGAAGTTAGCCCAAAGAGATAAGGGGAAATGAAGAATAATGAAATGAAAAAGAAAAAAGCTTAAACAACAGGGCTCATCTTGAAAGATAAACATGTCATCCAGTGAGGGGGGGGGTGCATGTGGTGCACCGAAACATATCGCCGCGCAACCGAATTTTTCAAACGAAACAAAGCTCGGGTCGAGTTTTAGAAGGCAGAAAGGACAGGTGCACGTACACATCTACTCCGCTTGCCAATAAATTCAGAATTTCTGTAAGCGGGTTGAAACGTCGCACACACTGCAGCCCCCCCATACCCACACTGGATGAGGCCCTATCGAGCCAGCTCGAATAGGGAACATTAGGAGAAAGGCGGACAGATAGACAGTGGGATGGCTGATTGATGACCATAGACATGCATAGGCGAAGAGATGAATTGATAGATGAATAAGAGGGGAGAAAGTATGGACAGATATACAGATGACCAGCGAGACACAAATAGAAAAACGTGCTGATGAGAAGAGAAAAAGTGGAAGGAGGTCTTAAAAGTTGGGATCGAACAGTTGGTAAAACAAATTTGAGCAGCCCTGATATGTTTCTGCTGGGAAAAAATATTTTCTTTTCCGAACTTGTTTACCGTACCCGTGAAGTAATAAATGCGTGCGATTCAATCAGAAGATTAAATGCATGTGCCCAATTCGCGCGCTTACCCGCCGTCGTGCATATCTCAACCCGAGAATACCATGCGCTAACCTTGAGAAATTCAAACGAACAAGAACATATGGAAACAGTGCACAGCCCACATAAAGTCAAACAGACAGGAACAATTTGTAGAAAGGTAAATACGATAAGAAGTTTGTCAAACATACACCCCCTAATCCTCCCATGGGAGTCTGAACCCGATAAGGGACAGAATAAATAAGGCAAAACTTATGATTTGCCGAAGAGCAAACATCTCGCACTTGAACCTTCTCTGAAGAACAGCAGGGCATCGCTGTGTGGTTCAGTAGGACAGAAGCGACTTTTTCGCGTTTCGCGCGCGAAACATTTTCGCTGCGGGAACCTCAGGTCCACCGCTGATCATGAGTGGACCTGAGGTTCCTGCAGCGAAAAATGTTTCGCGCTGCGAAACGCGAAAAAGTCGCTTTCTGTCCTAGTGAACCACACCCGGGCATGCACTCTCGTGCTCAACGAGCTTACCTGGAAGCTATACTGCTAAAGCGGGGCAGAATAGTACATATACTCATTCCCATGTACTCTGCTTCATAATGGCTACTGGTCTTTTTGAGACGAGCATCGGCGATGTTGTCGGCGCTTGCGATTCGGAGATAAGACGGCAAATGAAATAAGATAAGACGACACTGCCCCGTCAACGACACATATTCTTTAGCCAACAATGCCAGATAAGACCAAAGCGGCTCGATGCTCGACATAACACCGTTAAATATACAGCACACAGAATTGATCGCGGCGTATTATTAATCGTTGGGCACGGCGCGCTCAGACCAACACGCGCGGTAAACATAACGCGATCGTTTGGGAGCTGCTGGACACGTTAAAAATACAGCAAAAGTGCAAGTACGGATGATGGAATGCTGATGGGAATTTATGATACGATGAAACATTCAATGACTGCCATTCAAAATCGGCGTCTGCGTAATAACGGGGCTCCGAAAACTATTGCTGCCTACTGAGAATCATTGATTACTGCAAGCCAACCTCCTCGTTAGCTCTCTTCATTACTGAAGTAAAACGTTATGCTGAACACCCTTTGCTGCAGAGACCGCTTTTCCAGGAGAGCACTATCAGAAACAAGTACGCAGCGTGGAGCCCACGTTAGACGAGTTTAGGGGATCTTATTTGATCTGTTTTGAAAAGAGGAGAGGTCATATTGGAGGGTCAATTTAAAAGAATTTGCCAAGCATTTTTTCAAGAAATTTTCGAGTGAAGTAAAAACGAATCTTAGCATATTTCTTCTTCTCATTGTGTAATATAACTCCTCCCTCCCACCCCCAACTCCACAGGTGTTCCACAAATTTCCGGAATAATGGGGGGGCCGTGGCGAAGGAAAGGAATTCATTTGGAGCACCTCTCCTTTCCTTGATTGACACTAATTTATTCAGAACGGCAACTGACGACTTCATGATGATGCTCTCTACTCTATTTGATGATGGTCGATGACGATGAGAGAGGCCCTGTTTCCCGTTCACTTCACGCGCCTACACTCAAAATGTCCCAGATTCTTTAAATACCGTGTGATTCATGGATTACACTGATGCTTACACAGAAATTACGATTGCCTTATCTTCAAGCACACAATTAAGGCCACTAACAAAACCGTTTAAACCGATTTCACCACACGTCCTTTTCCGTGGCGCATACAGTCCGATGGACGGTAATTAAGGCTTTACCCTTTCTTACAAAACTGGCCAGCACCTAACATGAGCCCTATGCTAGGCAACCCAGATATTTTCAAGGCC